GCCAAGTGTGTTAGCACACCCATAGTCCCAGCTACTCAGGAGGCTGAGGCGGGAGAATAATGAGAGCCCAGGTCAAAGCTGCAGTGAGCTGTGTTCATGCCTCTACACTCCAACCTGGGCCACAGAGTGAGGTCCTGTCTCCAAAACACACACAAATAAACAAACAAACAAAAGGTCGCCTGGGATTACTCACGCCTGTAATCCCAGCACTTTGGGAGGCCGAGGTGGGCAGATCACTGAGGCTGGGAGTTGGAGACCAGCCCAGGCAACATGGTGAGACCCCATCTCTACCAAAAATACAAAAATCAGCTGGGTGGGGTGGCGTGCATCTGTAATCCCAGCTACTCGGAAGACTGAAGCACAAAAATTGCTTGAACCTGGGAGGCAGCTGCAGTGAGTGGAGGTTGTACGATTGTACTCCAGCCTGGGTGACACAGTGAGACTCTGTCACAAAAGCAAAAAACAAAAAAAGAAAAAGGGAGTAGGGTGCAGCAATAACCAAGCCTTTGTATTTTTTTTTACCACTCACCCACCGACTTACCCAGAGCAACCGCCAGCCCTGCAGGCTTGCTCCATTCATGGTAGGTGCCCTACATGTCCCATTTGTTATCTCTTATATTGAATTTTACTCTACCTTTTCTTTTTTTTTGGGAGGGGGGAGGGAATGGAGTCTCACTCTGTCACCCACGCAGTGACGTGACCTCGGCTCACTACAACCTCCATCTCCCAGGTTCAAGCACTCATCCTCACCCTCCCAAGCAGTTGGGGTTACAGGCTCTCACCGCCATGCCTGGCTAATTTTTTTTTTTAGTAGTATTTTTAAGTAGACGGAGTTTCACCACATTGGCCAGGTTGGTCTCAAACTCCTGACCTCAACTGGTCCACCTGCCTCGGCCTCTTAAAGCGCAGGGATTACAGGTGTGAGCCACTGCCTTGACATGTATCTTTCCTATGGTTACATATGTTTATGTATACAAACACTTATGCTGTGCTACAGTTGCCTACAGTATTTAGTACAGTAACATGCTGTACAGGTTTGTATCCTGGGAGCACAGGCTCTGCCAGAGACTAAGTATATCGTAGGCTAAGACCACCTAGGTTTTTGTAGCGCACTCTAGGATGTTCACACAAGGATGAATTTCTCAGGATGTATCCTTGCCAGTAAGCAACACTACTGTGTAATTTTAAGGAAGGATGGGAAGACTTAACCTTGTCAAATATCAATACAACTCAAAGCAATTTACAGACTCAATGCAATCCCTTTCAAAATGGAAATAGCCTTTTCTACAAAAACGGAAAAGCAGATCCTCATATTCATATGGAATTGCAAGGGGCGCCAGAAAACAAAAACAGTCTTGAAAAAGAAGAATAACGAACTCACTCCTCTTTTGAGTCAGAATCTCGCTCTGTCGCCCAGCCTGGAGTGGAATGGTGTGGTCTTGGCCCACTGCAACCTCTACCACCCAGGTTCAAGTGATTCTCCTGCCTCAGCCTCCCAAGCAGCTGGGATTATAGGCGCCCACCACCACACCGGCTAATTTTTGCATTTTTAGTAGAGATGGGGTTTCACCATGTTGGCCAGGCGGGTCTCGAACTCCTGACCTTGTGATCCACCCACCTCGGCCTCTCAGTGTGTTGGGATCACAGGCGTGAGCCACTGCGCCTGGCCCTCTTTTTTTTTTTTTTGAGACAGTCTTGTTCTTGCCGCCCAGGCTAGAGTGCAGTGGCACAGTCTTGGCTCACTGCAACCTCTGCCTCCTAGATTCAAGCGATTCTGCTGCCTCCTGAGTAGCTGGGGTTATAAGCACCTGACACCATGCCCAGCTAATTCTTTTATATTTTGTATCTGCCTACTTTAGCCTCCCAAAGTGCTGGGATAACAGGCGGGAGCCACCACCCTCAGCCTCTTTTTTTTTTTTGGAAACAAAGCTTCGCTCCTGTCTCCCAGGCTGGAGTGCAATGGCGCGATCTTGGAGATCTTGGCTAACCGCCTCCCGGGTTCAAGCAATTCTCCTGCCTCAGCCTCCAGAGGAGCTGGGATTGCAGGCGCCTGCCATCATGCCTGGCTAATTTTTATATTTTTAGGAGAGAGGGGGCTTCCCCATGTTGGCCAGGCTGGTCCCAAACTCCTGACTTCAAGTGATCCGCCCACCTTGGCCTCTCAAACTGCTGGAATTACAGGCGTGAGCCACTGTGCTGGCCCTCCTCTTTTTTTTTTAGTTTTGTTTGAGACGGAGTTTCACTCTTGTTGTTGCCCAGGCTGGTGTGCAATGGCGTGATCTCACCTCACCACAACCTCCACCTCCAGGGTTCAAGCGATTCTACTGCCTCAGCCTCCCAACTAGCTGAGATTACAGCCATGCACCACCACGCCAGCTAATTTTGTTTTTTGTTTTGTTTTGTTTTGTTTTTTGTTTTAGTAGAAATAGGGTTTCTCCATGTTGGTCAGCCTGGAAACTCCCAACCTCAGGTGATCTGCCCACCTCGGCCACCCAACGTGTTGGGATTACAGGCGTGAGCCACCGAGGCCAGCCTCTCTTTTCAACATAGCACTGAAGGTCCAAGCAAGAGCAATTAGGCAAGACGAAGAAATAATGGGACCTTAACTGGAAATGAAAAAGTGAGATTATTTCTATTTTCTGACGACACAATTATATATGGAAAATCCAAAAGATTCAAGAAACTGTACAACTGAAAAAGGAATTCAGTACCAGTGCAGGATGCAAAATCAACGTTTAAAAATCATTTCACACTGAGAAACAGTTCTGTAAAAAAAAGAAAACTAAAAAACCTAAAACAAAAAGTAGCATTTACATGTAATTATCCAAAAAAGAATCAAGAAAACATCTCATTAATTAAAACAAAGCATCGTGATGAAAAAATAAATAAAAAAAAGAAAACAATTTCATTTAAAATAGCAACAACAAATAAAATACATGGTACAATAACCAAGAAGATGAAAGACTTCTATACTGAAAACTACCTTTAATTTTAATTTTTTTTTTAAGAGACAAGAGTCTCGCTGGGCGCGGTGGCTCACGCCTGTAATCCCAGCACTTTGGGAGGCCGAGGCGGGTGGATCACGAGGTCAAGAGATCGAGACCATCCTGGTCAACATGGTGAAACCCCGTCTCTACTAAAACTACAAAAAATTAGCTGGGCATGGTGGCGCGCGCCTGTAATCCCAGCTACTCAGGAGGCTGAGGCAGGAGAATCACTGGAACCCAGGAGGCGGCGGTTGCAGTGAGCCGAGATTGCGCCACTGCACTCCAGCCTGGGTGACAGCAAGACTCTGTCTCAAAAAAACCAAAAAATTTTAAAAATAAATTTAGTACAGCCTAAGTATATAGTGTTTATAAGACTAGGGTAGGCCAAGTATGATGGCTCATGCCTGTAAGCCAAGCGCTCTGGGAAGCCAAGGCAAGAGGACTACTTGAGTCTAGGAGTTCAAGACAAGTGTAGGCAACATAGGGAGACCACATCTCTATAAACATTTAAAAATTAGCCAAGTGTGTTAGCACACCCATAGTCCCAGCTACTCAGGAGGCTGAGGCGGGAGAATAATGAGAGCCCAGGTCAAAGCTGCAGTGAGCTGTGTTCATGCCTCTACACTCCAACCTGGGCCACAGAGTGAGGTCCTGTCTCCAAAACACACACAAATAAACAAACAAACAAAAGGTCGCCTGGGATTACTCACGCCTGTAATCCCAGCACTTTGGGAGGCCGAGGTGGGCAGATCACTGAGGCTGGGAGTTGGAGACCAGCCCAGGCAACATGGTGAGACCCCATCTCTACCAAAAATACAAAAATCAGCTGGGTGGGGTGGCGTGCATCTGTAATCCCAGCTACTCGGAAGACTGAAGCACAAAAATTGCTTGAACCTGGGAGGCAGCTGCAGTGAGTGGAGGTTGTACGATTGTACTCCAGCCTGGGTGACACAGTGAGACTCTGTCACAAAAGCAAAAAACAAAAAAAGAAAAAGGGAGTAGGGTGCAGCAATAACCAAGCCTTTGTATTTTTTTTTACCACTCACCCACCGACTTACCCAGAGCAACCGCCAGCCCTGCAGGCTTGCTCCATTCATGGTAGGTGCCCTACATGTCCCATTTGTTATCTCTTATATTGAATTTTACTCTACCTTTTCTTTTTTTTTGGGAGTGGGGAGGGAATGGAGTCTCACTCTGTCACCCACGCAGTGCCGTGACCTCGGCTCACTACAACCTCCATCTCCCAGGTTCAAGCACTCATCCTCACCCTCCCAAGCAGTTGGGGTTACAGGCTCTCACCGCCATGCCTGGCTAATTTTTTTTTTTAGTAGTATTTTTAAGTAGACGGGGTTTCACCATGTTGACCAGGATGGTCTCGATCTCTTGACCTCGTGATCCACCCGCCTCAGCCTCCCAAAGTGCTGGGATTACAGGCTTGAGCCACCGCGCCTGGCCCTTTTTTTTTGAGACAAAGTTTCGCTCCTGTTGTCCAGGCTGGCGTGCAATGGTGCCATCCCAGCTCACCACAACCTCTGCCTCCTGGCTTCAAGTGATTCTCCTGCCTCAGCCTCCCAGGGGAAGTTATTCTTTAATGAGTACAGTGTTCATTTTGGGATGACAAAAAACCACACCCAATTAATTTTTAAATTTTGTGTAGAGACAGGGTCTCACCATGTTGCAAACACAACAAAAAAGTTGTGGCCAGGCACAGTGCCTCATGCCTATAACCCGAGCACTCTGGGAGTCAGAGGTGAATGGATGATCTGAAGTCAGGAGTTCAAGACCAGCCTGGCCAACATGGTGAAACCCCATCTCTCCTAAAAATATAAAAAATAGCTGGGCATCGTGATGCGTACCTGTAGTCACAGCTACTCAGGAGGCTGAGGCAGGAGAATCGCTTGAACCCAGGACGCGGAGGTTACAGTGAGCATAGATCATGCCACTGCACTCCAGTCTGCCTGAGCGATAGAACAAGACTCCATCTCAAAAAAAGAAAAAAGAAAAAGCAATGTGGTACTTACTTCAGCAGCACATACACTAAAATCTGGAATGATACAGAGAAGACTGGCAAAGGGCCTACACAAAGATGACATGCAAATTCATGAAGTGTTCTATATCATTAAAAAAAAAAGCGATGAAGAATTGTGGGTTCTGAACCAGATAAACGACATCAGGATAACTGCTGAATTTTCAATAAAATCTGTAGACTGGGTAACAGTACTTTCTTTTTTTCTGAGATAGAATCTCATTCTGTTGCCCAGGTTGGAGTACAGTGGCATGATCTTGGCTCACTGCAACGTCCACCTCCTGGGTTCAAATTCTCCTGCCTTGGCCTCCCGAGTAGCTGGGACTATAAGCACGTGCCACCAAATCCAGCTAATTTTTGTTTTTTGGAGTTTCTCTTGAGACGAGTCTTGCTCTGTTGTCCAGGATGGAGTGCAATGGCATGATCTAGGCTCACTGCAACCTCCATCTCCCGGGTTCAAGCGATTTTCCTGCCTCAGCCTCCTGAGTAGTTGGGACTACAGGCTTGTACCACCATGCCCAGGTAATTTTTGTACTTTTAGTAGAGACAGGGTTTCACCATGTTGGCCAGGCTGGTCTCAAACTCCTGACCTTAGGTGATCCGCCTGCCTTGGCCTCCCAAAGTGCTGGGATTACAAGTCTGAGCCATCATATCTGGCTTGATGAACAGTATTGATTCCGTGTTCATTTCTTGGGTTAGATAGTTGTACATAAGATGTGATATTAGGGAAAGATGTGTTTCTAATTTACATAACACAAAATGAATAGCAGTTCCATTTCCTAAGATGGAAAAGGACCATAGTTTGTTTTTTGGAGGTTAGAGGAGCAGTTATGGAAAGACCATGAGTTTGGTAGGCACATGTTCACTTTTAATATTTTATACTGTTCTATTTTTTTTAGTTTCCGTAAGCATCATTACATATGAATTTTATAAAACTAAGACATTCGAGAAATATATAATACATACCCAGAACTGGTTCTGTAATATTAAGTAAAGAAATGCAACCAGGAGGGGTAAATTCTGTCTGTCCCAGATCACATTCCAAATAGTCAACGCAGGGAAGACTGCAAATTGTTAAAAAAGAAAAAAGAAAGAAAATCCTAACTAGCTTTACTCTGTAGAAAGCATAACCAGACAGTCAAGATTTCATGTGATACACAGGGATAATCCACACCACGCAGCCCTTTAGAAGTGGTGCCCCAAAGATGACAATCAGTGATTAAAAATAAGTCAAGAGATCCCAGAGCAGACCCTAAGATGGGCATGCCAAAAAATAAGAAATAAAAACAAGTCAAGAGAAAATGTGGTGCAGGCATGGTCACACTGTCCATTCATAACATGGGGACGATTTGGTCTTTCAGATAATTTCTTTTTTTAAGATGGAGTCTCACTCTGTTGCCCAGGCCGAAGTGCAATGGCGTGATCTTGGTTCACTGCAACCTCCCCCTCCCCGGTTCATTCAATCCTCCTGCCTCAGCCTCCGGAGTAGATGGGATCACAGGTGCCCACCACCATGCCTGGCTAATTTTTGTATTTTTAGTAGAGATGGGTTTTCACCATGTATGCCAGGCTGGTCTTGAACTCCTGACCTCAAATGATCCACCTGCCTCAGCCTCCCAAAGTGCTGGGATTACAGGTGTGAGCCACTGCACCTGGCCTGAATTTTTAAAAAATATACCAATAAAACCAGACTGTCATGTCTAAGGCCATCTCAAATGCCCAGTCTTCAGAAAACTGTTTTTCTTCTTTCTTTTTTTTTTTTTTTTTTTTTGAGACAGGGTCTCACTCTGTGCCCAGGCTGGAGTGCATTGGTGCGATCTCACTGTAGCCTCAATCTCCCAGATT